GTGCACATTGATATAAATTTTTATCTTTGAGGGTGCAAATTGAGATTTTTGATCTTTGGGGGTGCACATTGATACAAATTTCTATCTTTGAGGGTGTAAATTGAGATTTTTGATCTTTGGGGGTGTACATTGATATAAATCTCTATCTTTGAGGGTGCAAATTGATATTCGAATGATCTTTCGGGGGTGTAAAATGAAAAAAAGGTACCTTATCCTATACTAGCTTGCACTAGATTATTTCTCTCCATAGGCACTTTTTGCGGGAACGAAATCGAATCAAATTCATAGTCCGTTCCGTTTCGGAAACTTCCATATATTCATGGTAGGAGTTTGATTTTGATAAGGATTATAATTCACGGAGGTTTTTGTGTATAAATAGAGATGCTAGTTTTGAGGTTTCATTCTCAACTTCTCTTCTTTAAGGTTTTGAAGGGTTTAGCCCTCTTTGTGTGGGGGCGGTTTCAAATTTGAGATGTTGGGTAAGTTTTCTAAGATTTTTCGTTGTTTGTTTACACTCTTCAAGTTTGGGTTTTCGATGTTTTTATGTTATTTGAATTTGAATCTTTTCATTATTGTCATAAGTTTGTTTTTTTTAATGTAGTAATAGGTCTTGTTTGTGTGGCGGCGGTGGTATCAAAGCCACCACAAACCAAAGAAAGATTTTCGAAACAGAGAGAGAACGGCCTCGAGTTTGAAAGGTGCCACATTTGAGATGTTGGGTAAGTTTTCTAGGACTTTCCATTGTTTATTTACACTATTCAAGTTTGTGTTTTCATGTTTTTATATTATTTGAATCTTCATTATTGTCATAGGTCTTCTAGGATCGTTAATTGTCAACTCAAACCTTTTAAGTTTGTTTCTTTTAATGTTTTTATATAGTAATTGGTCTTGTTTGATAGCCATAATATGGAGGGGGAGAAAAGGGTGGATTGAACTATAATTCTTTAATCTGGTCTTATTTGGTGTTTGGATGCCAAAAACATTCTGTGATTCATGTGGATTATGTTGGGTATGTATAAATATGAGTTGGGATGGTATAACTATTGCCCCACTTGTAGTCTAGCATATTGGAGTTGATAATATTTTTTATCCGTATTTAAAGTTATGTTTTATGTTTTATATAATACATTCATGATCCAACATCTTTCTCATATAATAACTCATGGTTGATATGGGGAGGATGTAAAAGTCCGGTGCATCACCGGCTAGTGTCTTACTCTTCTTGTATGCTAGGTAAGAGTGGGGGTCTTCTTTTATTTTGCCTTTTTTTTTTTCAAAAATAATGGTGGACTCATTTTATTGACCAGATCGACAACTCTAACATTTCATGTGTGACCACAAAAAACCTAACATTTTTTTTGCACAAGGGAAGGGATTAGAATACATAAATTTAGGTGGCTAAATGTGATAGAGGAAAAGTTATAGATGGTTAAATGAAAAGAAAACATAGGATATTTAAACTTGTAATTAATTACTATTAATTCCCAATAGAGGAAGGGACTCTGAAGCCTCTCTTCTCCAATTTTTAATGGGGGATGGGTGGCTTTGGAGATTTCTTTCTCGATTGATAGTTATTAGTTGTTAATCACAAGTTTTTTTTTAATTTTCTATGTTTTCTTTCATTCACCAACTCATAACTTTTCCTCTAACTGCATTTAACCATCTATTCTATATATTTTTTCTTCTTATAACATGCATAACCCTTGTAGTAGTAGATATTTACATTAGTAATCGTGTGCAACTAAATTGCTTTCACGCATGGAATGTCAATTGTTCCCTTATTTTTTTTTCTAATTACAGTCATCCATAAATCATTTAGTTATAATCACTAGTTGGCCCTACACATGGTGACCCATGTAAATATAATTGTAAACGAGTTATGAATGGTTATTTTGAAAGAAATGAATGATAATTAGTGAGATTTCATTTGTGGAAGTAATTAAGTTGGGTTAAAAAGAGAGTTATATGTAGTTCTTTGAAATAAAAAATAAAAAACACCATAAACCTAAGGTATGGAAGTTATTCCGTGAATTGAATCTACCATGTCATCAATGTGTTGAATAATAGGGAGAGAACATTGGAAAAAGTGACATATGATCTTTCTCTTCTTGGAAAGGGAAACATCCCCATTTTTTCTCCTTGGTAGCCAGTACATTGATGTTGTGGTATATTCGATTTCTGCTACAATTTTTCTCTAAAGTGTGGCCCTTGATGTCAAAAAAGTAACCTTTTAGCTTCTAAATTAATAGGATCAATATTCTCAACCTTATCTCTTCTTACGAATAGTTATTCTGTGAATTGAATCTACCATGTCATTAATGTACTGAATACCAGGGGAGAGAACATTGAAAAAATTGAGATCTGATCTTTCCCTTATTGGAAGGGGATGTCCCCATTTTGTTTCTTCGGTAATCAGTACATAGATGTCGTGGTATATTCAATTAATGCTATAATTTTTCTCTTAAGTATGACCCTCTAATGTCGAAAAAGTAACCCATCCTAGCTTCCTAAATTAATTGGATTAATATTCTTAACCTCTATTTCTTTTTTCGAGTAGTCAGTAGATTATGCTTAAAAGAAAAGTTACTCCGTGAATTGAATCTACCTCTCCCTTCTTTAAAAGGGAGACATCCACATTTTTTCTCCTTGCTAGTTAATACATTGATGTCATGGTATATTCGATTTATGCTATAATTTTTCTCTAAAGTGTGGCCTTGATGTCAAAAAAATAACCCATCCTAGTTGCCTAAATTAATGGGATTAGTATTGTCAACCCCATATCTTCTTATGAGTAATCAATAGATCACGCTTGAAAGAAAAGTTATTCCATAAATTGAATCTACCATGTCATCAATGTAATGTATACCGGGGAGATAACATTGAAAAAAGTAGGATATTATCCCACCCTTCTAAGAAAAGGAGATGTCCCCATTTTTTCTCATTGGTAATCAGTACATTGATGTCGTGGTATGTTCGGTTCATGCTATAATTTTTCTCTCAAATGTGACCACCTAATGTCGAAAAAGTAACCCATGATAGCTACCTAAGTTAATGGGATTAATATTCTCAATCTCCATCTCTTGTTCCGGGTAGTCAGTAGACCATAGGGTTGGGGGCGGGTTTGGAGTTCTTCCTTTATAAACACTTTTTGGTTGTTAATGTTAATTACAAGTCTATTTTTAATATCCAATGTTTTCTTTCATTCAACTACTGAGAACTTTTCTCTAACCATTATCTTTATAGACACGTGTTAGTTGTTAATGTTAATTACAAGATTATCTATGTTTTCTTTGATTCAACCACTGATAACTCTTCCTTTGACCATATCTAATAAATTACATTGATCTATTTAGTCACTTTCCACTTCTAAATCTTTTTCCTTCTTCCTATCCTCACATGGGTATAACGTGTGCATAACTCCTCACAGTAGTAGTTGTTGATATAAGTAATCATGTGCAATTGAATTGCTTTCACTAGTGGGATGTAAATATTACCTTATTTCTTTTCTAATAATCATCCATAACTTATTCGGTTACAATCATTAGAGGGACACGTGATGATCTGTGATCTGTGTAAATATGATTGTAAACGAGCAAATAAAGGGTAATAGTGGCATTTCATTAGTGGAAATAATTAAGTTGGGTTAAAAAGAAAATTATAGGTAGTCATTTGAAAAAAAAATAAAGAATATTACATATATTTCATGGTTGAACAACAAAAACATAACCTCTCTCGTGTGCAATGGTACCAGAAGAGTAAGAAAGATATGGAAGGCGGAAGTGATTGGAATAGACAAATCTAGGTGGTTAAATGTAGTCGTGGAGAAGTTATAGGTGGTTAAAAAAACGTTGGATATTTAGACTTGTAATTGACTACTAATAACTACCAATAAAGGGAGATGACACCAAACCCACCTCTCTCCCTTTATTAATAGGGGGTTGGTTTGTTTGGAATTCTTTTCCTTTATTGACAGTTATTAGTTGTTAATTAACAAGTATTTTTTTAAATCTCCTAAGTTTTCTTTCATTCAACTTTAACCACATTTAACTGCCTATAATTATCTATTTAGTCACTTTCCACTTCTAAATCTTTTTTTTTCTTACATGCACACATGGGTACCGCGTGTGCATAACTTCTAGTAGTAGTAGATATTCACATGAGTAATCTTGTGCAGGACATATAATTGGGAAGAAAGACTGCAAGCCTCTTTATAAATAGATTGATTGGGTTTTGATGACTCATTTGTCTGGTCTTCATAGGTTCCATCAATTTCCCTTTTTCTCCGTAACTTCTGTTAGTTACCCTTTTTCTTCACTCTCATTTTTGTGACCTCCATCAACCGCCTGCTTCCCCCCTCACCGCTCTCTCTTTGAAACTGAAGGATCGGAATTCCAACCGTCCTGTTTCAAAATCTTTCAGATATTTCATCAAATAAGGGTTGAGCTTCTTTTTCTGTCTAAACCCTAATCTCCAACAAACTTAGCAAGTTCATGCTCATCCAGGGTATTCATGACTTCCAAGCAATTGTGCATGCATTTCTTTTATGAGAACTCACCCTCCATCTCAAGTAAACACAGTTGTCCTTTGTCTGAATTTTCTAGCCACTTGTTTCTTTTAGTAAGTGTTTGTCTTATACCAAATGCTTCTATGATTACCAAAATTTCTTTTTGGGGTGAAATTTAATGACAATAGTAATGTTATCTCTTGTTCTTTTACTGTTAAGTATTACCCTGCCGTTATTCCATTTTCTCCTTTTCATAGTGAAAGACTTGCATGAATTAACGCCTCATTCTATCAGCATTTGTGTGTGTTAGTTATTTGTTTGGATTGTGAATTGCTGTTGATTCACCTTGTGAACTGGAATGTAATGATGATTTTGTGGTGTTTTGGCTAGTTAATGGATGCGATCATCTGGTTCTCAGCACTAAATTTTGGGGAGACTAGAATAAATTCAATATTGGATTATGAGTATGTTAACCGATAACAGTCCCATTTCAAAGATGCCCGCAAAAAGATTAGTTGAGAATAATAGATGTGAGTGTCCCAGTTCACCGAATATTAAGCGTTTGAAGGGTGATGCCATTGGACAATTTCCAAAACATTGTGGTGCACTTGACTCTCGAGACGGTGAAAGGAAATTGAAGGTATCGCAGGTGCGAGAAACTCCGAAGTTGGGGGAGAGGGGGCTGTTTTGGACGTGATGCCTCTGAGCATTTGGGTACCTAATGATTTGCCATATTCGGTTATGAAGACATTGGTTTCACATGGTAAGGTTGATGCTCTTGAGACAAAAATGACTGGGAAGAATGTGGAAATGGATTTGCCAAAAGAGTTGGGAAAGTCTGAATTGGTCAATGTGGTGGCAAATGGTGGTCAGCCTAGGCAGATTGATATAGAATGGCAATCCACTGCACTAGACTTCCGTCAATGCGGGGAATGGGGAGCGTCATATAGAAGCAACCTTACCTCTACATTCAGAGAGACTATTTCTGCAACTCGAACTCTTGACACTCAGGTCACAATAGAGCAATCTTACCACTGTGCCAAGGTCCACCCTCAGGAAATTGGGGATGGATATGTGCAGGGGAGAAAGTTAGAACAGAATGTTTCGAAGAAAAATCCAGAAAAGGTTCAACATGAACCTAGACAGGTCAACGAAATGTGCAAGCTGGTTCAAGAGAAAACATCTGATTGTGATCTCAAGCAGGAAGAAGATGGAGATGAAGTCCACATTTTATCTCCATTGGAGTGGAATTTGTTGGAATCTGGTTTTAAGCGTCAGACGGTCTGTAACATAGATGGAGTTAGAAGTCTTGTTGAGAAAAGCTGTAAGGATCCTGAAAAATGCAACAGAAACAATTTTTGTGAGGTTGAAAGTGGTGCACTGGCAGAGTCTCAAGAAGTAGAATCTTTTCAACTGGCTCCTTCATTTGTTGACAATTTAACTGCTGAGCAGTGGGGGAAAAGGGTCTTTGATTGTGGATTTACTGAATCTATGTGTGGATACAAAGGTCAGAATTTTGATTTAATGGATGTGGACAGATCTAAAAATGTTTCAGGATCGAATTCTACAAGAAATGAATCTCTTGCTCTTGGCATGAAAACTGCTTATCATTGTATGAGTTCAGCATTTGGCAACGATGAAGAACATGAACTTATTCTCGCAGCCAAAGAGTCAACTGATGGGAGTATTGTTCCTTATGATGAGTACCAGACACTTGTCAGTCGCAATAAAGTAAGGGAGGCCGTAAATCTCTTTGAAGAGATGTATAACAAGATGTTTCAAGAATATAACACAAAGGACCCACGAAAGCCCGTTGGGCAGATTCATGTGGAAGCAGCAATGGTTCTCAAAAAACAGCAAAAACAGGGTAATGCTGATAAGCACTTTCTGGGACATGTTCCTGGTGTTGAAGTTGGTGATAGGTTTCGGTTTTGGGCTGAACTTGTTATTATTGGCCTACATCATCAATTTTCTTCAGGTATACATTACGTGAAGAAAGATGGAAAAATTTTAGCCACTAGCATTGTGGCTTCTGGTCGTTATTCAAACAACACAGAATCTACTGATGTTTTAGTATATTCGGGTCAAGGCGGAAATCCAGCTACCGGAGATAACAAACCTGAAGATCAAAAGCTTGAGCGAGGTAATCTTGCGTTAAAGAACAGCATGGATGCAAAAACTCCTGTAAGGGTTATCCTTGGTCATCGGAGGGACTCAATATACATATATAATGGTCTGTACACTGTGGAGGAGTATTGGCAAGAAAGAGGGTCATACGGCAAATTAGTATTTAGGTTTAAATTAAATAGAATACCAGGGCTACCAAAATTTACTCAACAAATCCTGATTAAGCCAAAAAAATCTAAAGCATGCTTTGAGCGTTGTGTGGCAGATGATGTATCTGGTGGGAAAGAGAAAATGTGCATTCGTGCAATGAATGCTTTGGATGATGAGAAACCCCCACCTTTTACTTACATAACCAATATGATATATTCAGACTGGTATGACCACTCTATGCCAATTGGTTGCGATTGCACCAACGGATGCTCTGATTCTGAGCAATGTTCTTGTGCATTAAAGAATGGAGGTGAGATTCCTTTCAACAATAGTGGTGCTATTGTTAGAGCAAAACCTGTTGTCTATGAGTGTGGTTCTTCTTGCAAATGTCCCCCTTCTTGCATGAATAGATCTACTCAACACAGTGTTCGATATCAGTTGGAGGTCTTCAAGACTGAATCAAGGGGATGGGGTGTTAGATCACAAGATTTTATTTCGTCTGGAAGCTTTATTTGTGAATATGTAGGCGAGTTGCTTCGAGAAAAGGAAGCTGAAGAAAGGGCTGGTAGTGATGAGTATTTGTTTGATATTGGGAATTCCCAATTTGATGAAACAGAGGATGATACCTTTACTATTGATGCAGCACAGTTTGGGAATGTTGGGAGATTTATTAACCATAGTTGCTCGCCTAACCTTTATGCTCAAAATGTTTTTTATGATCATGATGACCAGAGAATGCCTCATGTAATGTTGTTCGCTTCGAAGAACATACCTCCTTTACGAGAACTAACTTATGATTACAATTACAAGATCGATCAAGTTCGCGATGCTAATGGCAATATCAAGAAGAAGAATTGTTATTGCGGTGCTCGCAGGTGCACAGGAAGGATGTATTGAGGTAGATCCTCTTCAAGTCATTCAGCTGTCCGTGGGGTGGAAAATTATGTTTGCTTTTCATTGTTATCTTTTGTTATCATCCAATGCATTCGTTTGAACTCATTTGATTACTTTTTAGGACAAAATGATTTAGCCTGAAGATTTTGGTGCCAGCTGGTAGCTGATCCCAAAGTATGCAGAGGTTTTCTTTCATTCAAAGCCTTGTTAGATTTGTTTAGACGAGTCGGAGCTGTTCACTTTCAATGGATTGCCTGGGATCTTGAAACCTCTTGGCTTATGAGGACAAGAGTGGAAACGTCTGTGAAAGAATTGTGTTGCGGGGTGAAAGGTTTCTTGTTGGGCTTTTCAGCCCTCCTGTTCTCCACCTACTTGTGGAAGCAGGGCCCCGGGTGGGTGGGTTGTGAGATTAAGTTTTCAAGGTGATCGAAGGCGGCCACAAGTGGAAGCAATTGATGCTTTGGTCATTCAATATTGTGTCATAAAGACCCTTATGCCCATGTCCCAATCCCCAACCCCCATCACTTGCGATCAATATGTACATCTAAAAGATCTTTCATATTGTGCTAAATAGTTGAATGTTTTAAGGCAATTCACTATTGATTTTAGTATTGTGACTAACTTGCATAAGTTGAAGTCTCCAAACGAGCCCTAGATTATCTGGTTCAAATTGTGCATTTGGAAAGAGGGTTCATAAGCATAGCGAGCTTTGGTCATTCAATATTGTGTCATAAAGATCCTTATGCCCATGTCCCAATTCCCAACCCCCACCACTTGCGATCAATATGTACATTTAAAAGATCTTTCATATTGTGCTACATAGTGGAATGTTTTAAGGCAATTTACTATCGATTTTAGTATTGTGAATAACCTGCATAAGTTGAAGTCTCCAAACGAGCCCTAGATTATCTGGTTCAGATTGTGATTTGGAAAGAGGGTTCATGAGCATGGCGAGCTTTAGATATTTGTTCATTCTTTGTTTGTTAATTTCATTCTTCCAATTCAAGCTCGATTTGATTCAACTCGTCAGATTAAACAAACCGTGCTTAAGTTTGTGTCCTACCATAAACTTGAACGTCACATATTGGCTTGTTAATTTCTTGCTTCTAAATTCAAGCTCGACTTGACTGGTCAGATTAAACAGATCAAACTTGAGTTTGTATTCAAGTATAAATTTCAGTGCTAACTAGTGTTTAAGATTTATCTCAACTTGTTTATGTAATAAAATATGGATAATAAAGTACAACATAAAAAATGGATTTTGCTTTTTGCTATTGGGATCATTTTAAATTTTACTATAAAATTAATTCAATAGCTAACACTAATTCTCAAAAATTACCATCGTTGTCACCCATGACTGCCTATCACCATCGTCGCCCAAAACCCACCTCCATTATAACCGTTGTCATCCACGGCTGCCATCCTCTCTCCCCACCATCGTTACCATCGCTCACTCCCATTACAACTAATTTTTAAATTTTTTTTTTCTATGTTTATGATTTGATTTTAAGTGTGAATATAATAAATATATTTATGATTGACAATTTTTTTATTACTCCATGCCTTCATAGCTGGTATATGTTTATATTATGTCAACTTGTTTATATAATAAATAATATATCACATGTTGGCTTGTTAATTTCTTTCTTCGAAATTCAAGCTCGGCTTGACTAGTCAAATTAAACTAAGCTGAAGTTTGTATTTGAGCATAATCTTGAATGCTGACTGGTGTGTAAAATTTATCTCAACTAGATTATATAAAAAAGAAGTCTAGACTAGTAAAAAAAAAGAAGCTTGGACAAGTCAAAACAAGCCATTCTTCGGACTGGGCTTAATTATTAAATAAATTTTAAAATAGAATTAAGATCGGTTCGTTTTATGAATGAACTTGAACAAGATTTAACTCAAACAGATCAAAGAATGGTGATGAACGAGATTTGAAGATGATTACTTTCCTGGTTTGTTTAGATGGATGGAACAAAGAAAAAGTCATAGAAGACAAATGCAATAGATAAAAGTATATGCAACCAGCAGGAGTCATATTAAATTTTTTTTCCTTAGGTGAATCAGCTCTCATGATTCACATTTCTATGATAGTTGAATAGGTAGAGTCGTAGAGACTATTTCTATGGTGGTCGAATAGGTCAATAGTTGTGGATAGATCATTATATCCATGAATATTATTTATGGTTGAATGCTCTTTATCAATGGACGAGGACGGAAGTTGTATTTTTCAGAATAGCACTACATACGAAACTTCTATCACAATAAGGTATGAAAAGAATAAGATATATATAGCTTTATTCCAATGCGACAAAACTCGCTCCTGAGAGAATACCTATCCCATATTCCCTCTAGGCGGAAGATGCCAAATAGATTGGAAGAGTATTAATGTCAAGCAATATTGCCAAATTACAGCTTGACTTTTACAATGTAGCCAAAGCTGATTCCATATGTATATCAAAGGATAAAGTTTCACCCCCACAATAATTATAAAAATGAGAAAGAAAGAGATGCATAAGGACAAACTTCGATTAGTTTACAAAGTAAAATGACGTATCAAGAGAGATTTGAGAGTGCTTAAGTAACTTCGCTGAGTGCTTTCTAAGAAGAGATTGGCTTGAAAGAAGAAAATAGAATGCGAATAGCCACGGTGGTCATAATAGATCAGCGTCCATGCTAGTTCTTGCTCCAACAGATAGAAAATCCACTACCCAAAATAAGAAATAGCGAAAAAAAAAACAATGTAAGTTCTCAGAATTTAAAAAAAAAAACACATTGCTAAATACACCACAGGCAAACTCTTAACCAACTAACATGAGGCTAACAGGATATAACAAAAGGCAACTGCTCCAATTAAAGTTGATCCAAATACAACAGCAGTCAAATATCTGTACTTAGAAGCTACATGCATCATCTGTTCTCATGACAGTAGAATATATAAGGTATGAGATAAGATATAACTGTCATAGGAAGTGGGCAGAATCGCAAACATATTAACAAGCATATCTAAAACAGCAATTATGACCCAGGAAAAAAAAAACGAGATAGAGGGTGCCTAGCCGTAGCAACGAATTGGATCATTGCAGCCTTTCTCAGCAGATTGCTTAAACCCAAATCGACCCCCCTTTGAGAGGTATTGCTGGTGATACTCTTCTGCTCTGTAAAATTTCTTGGCAGGTAAAATCTCAGTAACAATCTTCCTGTTCATTTGCTTCTGGTGTCTGTCCCTGGACTCTATTGCTGCCTTCTCCTGCTCAGGTGTATAGAAGTATATTCCAGATCTGTATTGCGTTCCCACATCATTTCCCTGCCAAAGGATACAACGAGCATTACTATAAGTCTTTTTTTTTGTTTGGGGAGTAGGGGGTGGGTGGTGGGGGCGGGGATGGGGGGTAATGGGAGTGGGGGGATTGGAAGGTCTTGGTTTGGGATAATAAATAGACAACAGAACACAATGCTACAAACATCACAGGAAATAACATAACCACCCTTTGTAACCATGCTTTCAAGATGTTGAAAGGGAAAATAAATTTTAAGAATAACCATAATAGGGATACGCTACAAGAAAACAGAAATAAATTGATGGGTGACGGTAAATTCAAGATGCAGCCAAAAAAAAAAAAACAAATGAAGGGACATCTTTGTGGCAAGACTAAGATAAGGGATGCATCTAATAAGGAAGGAACATGTAGATATGCAACAAGAAAACAGAAAAGGGAAATAAGTTTAATGGTTGTAGACTTGTAGTAAATGGGATGCCACATTAAAGAAAAAAAATTGACAGGAAATCTCAGTGGCAAGTCTAACATAAGGGGTTTCATACAAACATGTATTTAGCCAAGGAATTTCCTTGCCACTAGACCATATCTAATGATTCTAGGTTCTCAATTTACACATGACAATGATCCTAGACACACATAACAATTGTTTCTTTCTCATAAAAAAGTAGATGAATGGGGAAATTATTAATCACTCCAAAAAGCATTCTTACTCGAGGCTGCTGTCCAAGTCCAAAAGAATAGCTTCCAAGAGAGAACAAAGTAAAATATGATCTGAACACCAAATAAAAGACCAAATGACATAGCATAAAAAATGACAGAACAAAGGAAAAATCTCAAGTTCCATCAAGCAACTAATGCAACTGTCGAATGTAAACTATTTTCTAAGCCGCAATCCATGCGAGAGCTTTTTATCTGAGAAGGCACCTTATACAAGTTTTTCGATTTCCCAAAAAAAAAAAAAAACCCCGCCTCAGGGTCGGAGCTAAAGTACCAACAAAACTAAGACGTTCGGAAAATCCAACAATTGACACTTCTTTTTCTCCAACCAATCAACCAAAATTATGAAAAAATGAATCTTCAAACACGAAAATTGTCAGTTTTACTCCATCAAAATTCAAGCATACAACTAGAATTTTAAGAAACAAATCCAATTATAAACATAAATACATATACATCGTGTGTGTGTGTGTGTGTGTATGTTCCCTCCTGCTGAAAAAGCATTCATTCTTCATTTCTCAAAATATTTCAATTGGGACAAGCAAGAAATATGCTAATTCAACAGCTTTTTGTTCAATTTCTTGTGGAGTATAATTCTTATGCGTGTAACTTCACATCTCGCAATTCAAAGAAAGACCCATTTGACCACAGAGAAAGCCAAGAATACCAATTCATCGACAGAGCAATTCAATCTAACCCATCAAAATTCAAACACTAAATTCACAGAAATAACTCAAAGAAAGCCCCAAAATTCAGAAAACCCACCTGGCGATTAAGGGTTGTAGGGTCATGTCTAGCCCAGAAAGCATCAAGCAAAGACTCAAAACTACACTCCTTCGGATCATACTGAACCCTAACAACCTCAGAGTGGTTCGTAGTCCCCGAACATACATCCTCATAAGTGGGTTTATGAATAAAGCCCTGAGTGTACCCAACCTCGGTCTTGGTCACACCAGGGACTCTCTGGAAGACCAATTCCACGCCCCAGAAACACCCAGCTCCGAATTGGGCGAACTGTTGACCCGGTGCTGGGATATCATTGTCTGGACCTTGGGCTATGGAGGAAGAAGAAGAGTCCATGGAGGGTTCGGTGGGGGACCGCGTACCGAAGCCTAGCTTGCCCAGCCAGGACATCTTTGGGGGTGTGTAGAAATATATGGGCCTAGTGCTTTGAGGGAAAGAAAGGGGTTTGGCAGAGCTTGTAGAGAGAGAAAGTGAGGGTTTGGAGAGAGAAAAAGAGGAGGAGATGAGGAGGGGGAGAGGGGAAGAGGGTAAGGTGGAGGTGGAGGTGGTGGAGGCTCTGAGCATGATGATTTGTTTGAAGTGACGTGTTGAGTTTAGTTTAGATATTCTGAGGAAATGCAAAAAATGTGAAATGAGAGTTCGGTCTATGCCTGCCTTGTGGGGGAAGATTACGAAATTGGTACTTTTATCAAAATTTATAATTTTTTTATCCAAAAATTATAATAAAAGAATGATAAAAATTATAATTTTTTAAAATTAAATAATATATTTTAAATGTGAAGTTATAATTAATTAAAAATATTTATAATCGATTATGAAATTCCTTCAAACAATCATAATTTTATCTTTAAAAAGATGTAATTTAAGGTAGAACGGTCAAGCGTATCTGGGTCAGCTTATATGTACTTCGACTAATCTCCTGCTCGATCTGATTAAAAATAGGTCATCCACTCCGAAATTAAAGTATTCATTATGAATAAATCACTTATGACTTTATCTTAATGAGTTGTCAAAATTCAAATACAAAATATCTAAATTTATAACTCATTCTTATTATTACTTGACTTATTATTAAAAAAATAATAATAATATTTTTAATATGGTATTAAATTTTTTTTGGTACGAATATATGTGCAGATTTTATTTAAAGATATATTCTATGGTACGTCATAGTCACAGCGACGTTTGCAAACCAATTCATGATGTTCATTTTTTTTATTTTATTACATGGGGAAATAATTGAGGAGGAACATTCTAGTAAGCTATGATTAAGGTTGTTGGTAACAAGCGATTTTTGAGAGCCCCATTGTGAGGTGGGGGTGGAGGTGGGGGTGGGGGTGGGGGTTGGGTTGGATTGGGAGTGGAGGGACCGTTGGACTGATAATTGTGTCGTGGTCATTTCTTATAAATTTGATTTTTTGTTGGGCGTAAATTAAATTATATTTATTTAGATTAAAAATTTGTGTTATTTTTAAATTTGAATTAAAAAATGATAAATTTTCGTCTGTTACTTTTATATACATGCCAAAAGTTATCAACTTTAGAGATGGTAGTGCCAAAGAGGTTGGTGTGGTGCAGCCTGAATTATATCAACTCTACTTGTGTAACCTAAATTCAAAAAACCTCTTTAGTTTGTATCTAAAAAAATAATATTTAAAAACTATTTTTTAAAAATTTTTAGATTGTAAAACTTGTTTGGCTGTATATTTTTAAAAATAATTTTAAAGAACAAAAATTACAAAATTTGTTTGGGTAATAATCAAAATTTCCACAACCACCGAAACAAGCAACCAAGACCCTCCTTTTTCAATTCTCTGTCTCTCTCTTTCTCTTTTACTGTACATCAAGATCCACCGAAACAACAGTTATCACTAAAACTCTCAGTCACCACTTAAATCCATAACCATCCAAAACCCACAACCATTGCTCGTTATGCTTGAAGATTTGAAGCTTTGATCGTCTTTGTCTGTGCTGGAGAAGATTTGAAAATTTGAAGCTTTGATTGTCTTCGTCGTCGCCGGAGAAGATCTGAACCTTCCTCTTTACTCATTTTGTCTGAGAGGCAAAGTGGAGAAACAAAGAGAGAGAGCTTCCTCTCTGATCTTCTTCGTTCTTTGTTGTGTGTCTTCATCTGTTTGATGAGCAAAGTGAACAAAGGCAGAGAGGAAGGAAAAAAAACAGAGAAAACCTTGCTGCTAAGAAGACTCAAATGACAGACCTCATTAAAGAGGTGTTCTCCGTGTTTCCATAGTTTTTAAAGAAAAATTTGAAAACAAGTGTGACTTGTTTTATATTTTTTTGTTCCAAATCTCATTTTTTTCAAAAAATTTGAGAAAAAAAAATACTAAACAAATAGATTTTACGTGTTTTTAAAATTTTGAAAACAAAAAACTGTTTTACAGAACATAACCAACACAGCCCCTAGACACTGCCAACATTTGAGTTGAAGATCCATTGTCAAAACGGTGTCAAAATAAGTAATTGGACAGATGTAATAGCAGGGCAAATGTTACGATCCCACATAAGTTACAAATAAGACTAAATGTGTATATATAAACTTTTGAACACCTTTCTCTTGCAAACCGATTTTCAAAGGTAAATTCTACACATGGGTTCATAATAACAACAAACTCAGTACAAATGTTGTAAATAAACATTTTTTTGGAAAAACAGAAAAAGAAAGTGAAGAAAATAACACAACAATGACCAAGTTGAAGAAGTAGAAGCATAAGTATCTTTGATTACAAACTCAGAAGCTTGTAGAAGAAATGAACTTTTGAAGAATCTAATTCCAACCACATATAATTCCTAGGACCATCAACTAGGAAAAAACATAAAAATGCAAGTAGTACTTAGCAAAAACTGTCAAACCCATAGCCTTTCCAAATGGTAGCACTACCATGAACACTCCCTTATATGGGTTTGATCTTGAAATGGAGAGAGATGAGAGAGAACACAAAACACTTCAAATCCTGCAACCATAAAAAGGAGACATACTTTGTTAGAAATGGAATATATGTAAACTGAAACAAAATTTCATTGCTGATCAAAAAACAGTTATTGTAATGTTAAAAAACACATAAAAGTGCTCAATCAAGCAGTTAAGAATGGAACATAAGGGTTTCTTTTTCTTCTCTTTTCCTTTTATTCGGTATAAAGGGAACATAATGATTTCATTTGCATGTCAAGTAACATGTTTATCACCCTGATCAATGGCTAGGGTCTAACTAGTAACATAAAGGTGACACACTTAAATGAACGGTGTGGGCATCCATGCACTTCACCAGCTACAAGGGAGTGGGGAGACCAACTCCTTATCCAGAGACCTTTCCAACAATGGGTGTGCATGAAGACATCAGTGTTAAGTTGGCCATGCTTGAGTACTACCACAGCCAACCTTGAGCTCGTTTTGTGGGGGGAGGGTGTCCCCACCCTTTCAAGCTGCAGGCACAACCTCCAGGAACCTTCTATAGGACAGTACCACATAGCAGCAATAGCTCAGAAACGTTACTAGTACTGGCTCATTGCTTGTGAAAACAAGCCACAAAATAAAGCTATAGGAAGTCTTGGGACTAAAAGCAGTGATAAATTGGGATTTTTAAAGATAATTCTTCTCGACCAACCAACAGGAGTAGATAAACTTGGTAGTCAGGAACAATAAATCGTGATACCATCATGAAGAAGAGCATTGCCCTGTATTCAATGGAACTTTAAGCCAGAATACTGTTAGAATATCTACCCCAAGCCATGGGTGGAGTGACACCTCAAGTATATAAATCAACCATAGGACCATTTAATTTTTTTTGTGGGATAACAATCTTCACACTCTCCCTCACGTTCAACCCGGACTAACACGCGGGTAAACAAGCCAAACATGCAAACAAATAGACTGAAGCTGAAACAAAATAGACAGATAAACTGATTGAGCAGGGTGAGAAACTTAGCCCACCAACTACCCAAGGTCCAGCTCTAATACAATGTTAGATCATACACCATTTCCCAATTAGTTTTGGGTTGGATGTTCTAACGCAACACAAAATTGATACTTAGAAAACAAAATATAGCACAAGGACAAAATATATATAAGTATCAAATATGAATCCATGTCTCATTGACATAGAGAACTTGTGAAAAAAATTATGAACTTCGCTGAAATTTTTTTGAGTCAAGCGGAGTAAGTATTTCTTGTTCAATATTTTGGATTATGAATTTTTCTTTTCAAAGAAAAGACATAATTTTTGAAGGAATAGGAATCTGAGACATTGTATCCAAAAAAGAAAAAGGAAAAAAGGGAAAAAAATTTAATTAGGCAAATTAGAAGCACCGACTCCTTTGGTACGTCTATTTAGTTACTTCCCTATCTTCACCTCAGAGCTTCAGAAACCTGATGAAATCTTTCCTTCATGATAATGGATTAGATTTCATACTAAAAAGCCTCAATTAGCAATAAAAAACCTGGTGTTAGGTACATTATTTAAATGATGAAAAAAGTACTTCAAGCATTTACACCCTGACATATTGAGCGGATGCTCTGGTACTTACATGTCTACCTGCTCTTTCCACACCTACCAAAAGCATACAACAGAGCTGGCTAACAAAACCTCCTTAATCCTCTTCAAGCAATTCCCTCGCCAGAAATTCAGGGCCTATTGAAGTGACCTTGGCAAGACCAAACCCACCCCCAAAGAGGAGCAACAAAGGCCAGGAAACATCCCTAGCCACATGGTAGTGCTTAGAGTCCTTTTGATGTCCTGAGACATACAAAAATTATTTCCCTTGGACAAATTATTAATGGTGATATGGACACAATAGTGACACCCACACAACAAAAGCCAGCTAACGTGTGCTATTATACATTGAATGAGCTTGTGGAGGAAGATCATATAGCCAATGATGAGAGATTACACAAACTGAAATTCCACTTTTCTTTCTCTTGCAAGTCCCAAACTCAAAGACAACTTGAATAGTCCAAGAAGGGTCCATCAAACGCTACAGCCAGCAAAACTCGAATAGTCTGCCTCTTTCTTCAATCCATACAAAAATAAATCTAAAACACATCTTTCGCAGCAATATCCTCCTTTTATGAGACTTCCAAGCAACATCCTAACACCACAAATCATGGTAGAAGCCCTAGACTCTCATACGTAATAGTTGAACTTATTCATTCATATTATCCCCAATTTGATCAAATATGGCTCTGGCGCTGACAGGCCCCTCGAGTCCTCCTGGTATCCATACAGTAAGAAGACTGTGAGCGCTCAGGGAGCGCCTTTTTCCCACGAAAATATATGGACACTAAGGTTAAGGCCATAGGGAGAAGCGGGACATGTTCGACCTCACGTCTAACCAGCGTTTGGTCAACCGAGGGACCTAGTTCTTGTTTGAAGACCTGATTCAACATCTAAACAATTAACTTGAATTTTTCATAGCATAGACAATACATAATTCCTAACCTCATGTTTACGAGATAAGTTAATCAAATGGCAGGGAGGTAGATATGGAATTTTAATTTTCTTCCACTAGAATTTTTGTTGCATTTTCATTCTTTTTTGGGCATCATCAATTGCTAATAAACTTACTTTAATCCTGTGAAATCCCTCAATTCTTGCATGAATACAGTATCAAGTCCCAATAATCATATCATGTCAGAGCAACCAAGTTTACATGACAGGATTATGACCATGCATATGACTAACCATCCAGCCAGAATCTCAAAGAAAAGCATAGGGCCACATAGAACTGACAAAGAGCATAACAATGTCCATGCACGCATGTGTGAATGTGGTGACTAGGGGCCTGCGTGAACTTGCTGAGTGGTTACCTGAACAAGATAATAAAAGATACGAAGGCCTTCAGGATCTTTGCTGGATTGGACGTCCATGAGTGACCCGATCTTAGAAGTAGTAAATGATATGTGCTCGTTCCCCATCACAATTTCAAGCTCTTGCCGGCCCACGCGGTCAGGCTCGGGCCAGTTGTTATCATCTTCCTTCATTATCTGCAAAATAAAAGCCCAAAATTCAACCAGGCCATGCAAATACAAACAAATGGTAAACAATAAACAATGTGAACATTGAAAACCCTCCATTGCTCTCTAATACCGTAAGGCCCCCAAAACAAAACAGAAATATAACCTAGACATCCTAGTTCCCTCTTTGGCAGTGAAGAAAATGTGGGTAAAGAGTATTTAGTCATAATCTCCCATATCCAATGCAGGACAATTTTCTTAGAAAGAAACAAAACAATACAGCAGATATCTTGCAAGGAGCCTAATACACAATGTTAGGATAAAGACTTAACCATCCTATTGATTGCTAACAGGCTCTGCTAATCCAATATGTGGTTCCGCACCTTCCATGTCTTAACAATTGGTACTTCAGAAATAGAAAGAATCCAAGTAATACGAGAATAGCAGTGAGAGAGGCAACACAATCAAACAAGCCGGGCTCCTTAAGCCAGTGATAGAATATTGGTTTGTGTCTTTGTATTTGTCATTTTCCACAATTCAAGTGGCAGCAGAGGATTTAAAAATCCACTTCCTCTAATATTCCTCAGTTTTCAAGGGAACCAAACAGATTAACTGAGAAAATAACCCGGAAAAAAGGGGATGAACTTGAACAATACCCTAAAGCCCTAAACCCTAACTATCAAATCAAAGAAGCAAACTTAACTCCACATATTCAAATCAAAACCCACGTATTTGCTTTTCTAATTCCAACATCTTGCTCACTAATCAAACAAATAAACAAGCAATAAATAGAAAAATAAATAAGGCGTTGATTATATGAAGAAGAAGAAGAAGAAAGACCCACCTCGCTGTCGGCGACGATGCGGCGGCACTCTTTGAGGACGGCGGGGGTGAGGAAGACCTCTTTGCGGATCATGGTGTCGTTCTTGTAGTTGGAGTTATTGGCGTACCTGAGCTTCCCATCTGGCCTAAACTCGAACTCCAAGAACTCGTGCCCGAACTTTCCCTTGTGCCCCACGTAGTACCGAAGGTAAAACTCCCCATTTTCTTCGTCCGCCATGTTTCTCTCTCGTCTTCCTCTCGATCTCGCCCCCTCTCTGAATCCGATTTCTGTCGTTTTACTTTAAAAAAAAAAGGTTAATCTCATTTTGCACCTTAAAAGATTGTTTAAATCTTAATTTATACCCTCAAAGATAAAAAATCTCAATTTATTCCCTCAAAGATAGAAATTTGTATCAATGTGCATCCCCAAATATAAAAAATCTCAATTTGCACCCTCAAAAATAGAAATTTGTATCAATGTGCACCTAAAATTAAATTGATAAATTATACTTAGATCCACTCATGTTTGTCACTTAATCATTTAAACTACTTCACATTTAGAATATTCCCCTTACATCTCACGACGTTTGTGCATGTGTAACACATAACCACTTTTCGTTTATATTTGTTAATATAATCGTTAAAAAATATGATTTTATCCTAATAAAAAATTATAATTTTATATTACCTTTTATTTTGTGGATTCGATATACTCTAAAGTTGCAAATCAAGCTTACCATTTGAATGTCTAATGAAATGTAGATATTTATAACAAAGGTAATATGAAAAAAATTATATTAATATTTATATTTTATTCGACATTCAAATGGTAAACTAGATTTTGAACTTTAGAATATATTGAACCCATAAAATAAATGGTAATATGAAATTATAATTTTTTATTAGGATAAAATTATATTTTTTAACGGTTATATTAATAGATATCAATGAAAATGAGTTACGTGTTATACGTGCACAAATGTCATAAGATGTAGGAGTAGTATTCTAAATGTGAAGAGGTATAAATGATTAAGTGACAAGTATGAGGGGATCTAGGTATAATTTATCAATTTAGTTTTAGGTGCACATTGATACAAATTTCTATCTTTGAGGGTGTAAATTGAGATTTTTGATCTTTGGGGGTGCATATTAATACAAATTTCTATCTTTGAGGATATAAATTGAGATTTTTAATCTGTGAGGGTACAAATTAAAATTCGAACAATCTTTCGAGGTACAAAATAAAATTAACCAAAAAAAAATGTTTTTGAGACTTTTACCTTATAAAAAATATTTTTTTTACAAAAATAGTGTTCGAATTAACTTATTAAAAATATTTTTTAATAAGTAAAAATAATTTGAACACTTAAATAAGTTAATAAAAAAAATAATTAACTTTTACTTTTAAAAATCGATTTTCATTTTTCGATTTATTTTTTCCTCTCACTCCCCCGAGATACCTCTCAGCACCCGAGGCCAAAGCCCTTCATGTAGTCGTTTCTCTCTCAACATCGACGTCGACGCCGGCAATATATTCCTACAGTGATCGATTATCATCGTCATGTACAGAATCGTAGCTTCACGTTTTAGGGCTTTCAAGGTGTGTAATAATGTCAAGCTACCTTAGAACCCTAGTTTAATGTATTCATTGCTTATGTCTTATGTTCATTATATGAATATGTGATTGGTGGTTCTGATTAGTACTCCCTTCTGTTATTTGATTATTGTATGAGTACTCTTGCTAATTTGAATACGTTATTCCAAGTTTGATTTTAATTCAGGGGTGAACTGTGTGCTTTGTTTCAATGATTGATGTGTTAATGTTGGGGGCTGTGTTTGCTTGCTGAGAAAATATGGGATAAATGATTTGTTTATTTATTTGAGAAAATAGCAATTCTTATGGTAAAATATTCGGTTGTTTTTTTTATTTTTCGATTGTACTAATGTTGGAAGCAATGCAGAGGTAACGTGTGTCTTATAATTATTTTTTAAATATTCGTGAGTGAAGATAACTGTTGCGGTTTGAATAGTTATATGAGTTTTATTTTGGGCAGTTTGATAGAATGTCCACCAACCGTTTGATAAAATGACTATGGAAGTGAAGCTCTTGCTATTTGCATGCGTAGGTGGAATCAGTTCATTAATATTCACCTGAATTCTCAAGCATCTCCCCCACTCCTCAGGTCAGCTTCCAAGAAACAACCTATCTTGTTGCCTATGATCTCTGTAGTTACTTGTTTCATTCTATTGAAAGAAAGTTAAAAATTTGAACCCAACTACATGTCTGTAATTTAAAACAACTGAGTAACAACTTATTCTTACAGCTGTTTACATGTCTTACAAAGCTATCGTGGGCATCAATCAAATTCATATATAATTTAGTTACAAACAATCTAAATTTCCTGCTCTTTTGGTCTTGCACACTTTGGTTTTGCTCAAATGTTTCATTGCTTCTTTTCGTCACAGACAGTGAACGTAGGAAGTCTTCAACACCATTAATCATGGATTCCAATGCAGTTTCTCACAATTCAGAAACATTGTTCTTAAATCTTATAATCCAATTCTTGCACAAAACAGATCAACAAACAAAGCAAGTCGATTAATTTTGAAGTCTTGTATGTTTTAATCATTCGGGTCGGTTTAGCATTTGCACGTTTTGAGTCTTGAGGCACAATGCACCCAGTTTGTTTGTTGGTTATTATGTGCAGTCGAGATTTGCAGTGCGGTTATCAGTTTAAAAGTTACAACTTACAAAAGTTATCTAGCAATCAAATAGTCAGCAATTGGAGAGGCCTGAACTGACCCATTTACTTCAGAAGTAAACTACTGCCTGAAAGGGATATATTATTGGGAAATAAGGGATAGGGATAGATATAGGACTGCAGATGATAATCATTATGGTAATAGACACATTATGGTAAAAGAAAAATGACTATTTATGGTAGCAGTACTTTATTTTGCTTTCCTTGAGAGGCATTTTTTTGGTATTCACCTTTCTTGTGTTCCAAGTATCTTAACTTGTTGGGTTTCCAAATACTATTTAATGGGTTGGTCATGAAACACTTTGTAATGATGTTTCATATACAAGTGAAACTACAAATTGTTCATGGACTAAATGGTCTTCTTTTTTTTTTTTGCAGCTGAAATCCAGAAGCAAAAGCTTACTGAGAAATATACCGAACTCAAAGTATGTATGATTTGATCTGTTCGAATACAATGGTATGTAATTTCTGTACTCAGTGATGACCTTTATGTGATTTATCAGACATCTGGAAAGCTCGAATCCTTTATCGAGAAAAAGAGAAGGAAGAATGCTGCAAAGGACCACAGATTTATGCCATATCGACGTCCCAGCAACAATGAGTAACTAAACTAGTAGCTTTCTTACTTGCTTCCTAGGGGGTGGCTGTGCTGTGATATGGGAGGTTCAGGGGCTTTCCCTTGTGGGAGAAAGGCTGCTACAGATTTTTCCTCCAACTTTGTTGCGGATGTTTTGTCGGCCTGACAATCAGACTAAGATTTTTGTTGTTTGAATTGGTCTGAGTTCTGGTGTGCCCTTGAGACATATGCCCTCTACCACCGGCCACTTTCATGACAATCAGAATAATTGTGTAAATGCATTGAAATATAACAATATTTTAAAACATTATGGAACACTTCGAATTATTAAAATTTTGATTCATCACTGATTTGATATTTTTGTGCTCTCTCTCTCTCTCTCCTATTACTTCTAATTGTGTAGTTTTTTCGTATGATACCTTTATTAATATGATATTTTTGTGTATGATTTTTTTTTTTTGGTGTATTATTATATGTGTAGTATACGTTTGTACATGTGCATTCAATGCTATTAACAATTGGGACACAAATAAGTGTTTTCACATTCAAACGTGTTTTTTATAAAATACATTAATTTAAGTATTTTAAATTTTGAGTATCTAAACAATAGTTATTTAATAAAAGTATTTTTCTTATAAACACTTTTGACAAACATTTATTAAAAAAATACTTTTTGGACTTCATAAATCATCCCAAACACACTCTTAACCAAGAGGAGGGCTTTGGCGACCGTTGTTATGAGCAATGGTATTTGTGCCTTATTATGTGTTAATTTATTGTGGACGTTTATTAATTTAATAATTATGATTAATTAGGTTAAATTTAAAAGTCAGTTTGAATTTATGTCGGATAAATTAACTATAGAGATTATATATTTATTGAAAACACTCGTAAAAAAGTATAAAGAGAAAAAAATAAATTTCATATGGTATTTATAGATCTAAAAAAGACTTATCAAAAAGTACCTAAGAATACAATATGAATGGTGCTTGAGAGAAATGTGCGACAAATAAGTATATTGAGATGTTAAATGACATGTATGACGGGACTATGATTACAATTAAGTTTTTCATGAGAGAAATTACAAAATTTCTAATTACGATGAGATTACACTAAGGATCAGCTCTAAGTTCATATCTATTTGCCCTCATTATGGATTAACTCACTAGACACATTCAAGATGATGTCCCTTGATATATGTTATTTGTAGATAATATTATATTAGTAGATGAAATTCGAAAGGGGAGTAACAATAAGTTAAAAATTTTGGAGAGAGATACTCGAGTCAAAAGGGTTTAAAATAAGTAGGAATGAGACTAATTATATGCAATGCAATTTTAGTAATAAAAGAAATAAATATAATGAAAAAATTAAGATTGAAAATCAAGAAATATCAACAAATAAATAAATTAGATATCTAAGATCTATCATTAAAAATGATGAAAAGATTGAAGATGATATAACTCATAAATCAATGTCAATTGACTCGAGTGAAGGAAAACCTCTGGCATACTATGTGACAGAAGAATATCAATTAAATTGAAAGATAAGTTTTATCGAATAACTATAAGGATAACAATATTGTATGGGATAAAATGTTGGATAACTAGGAAACAACAGAGTGACAAAATGAGTATAGCGAAAATGAGAATGCTAAAATAGATGTGTGAAAAAACTAGAAATGATAGAATAAAAAATGATCATATTAGATAAATGATAGGAATAGCTTCAATTGAGGATTAGTTAAGAGAAAATAGATTAAAATTGTTTAGTCACGTTCAATAGAGACCGATAGAGACACTGGTTCGAAAAAGTGAAATAATTTTTCTTAATTGTACTAGAAATATGGATAAATCTAAGTTAACATTGAATAAAAATAATAAAAAAATATATGAAAATATTTAACTTAAATTAGTGTATAATGCATGATTGAAATGAATGGTAAAAATAAACTTATATAGCCAATCCCAAATGATTGGCATATAACACTTAGTTTGATTTGATTAGATTTTTTTATTTTTTTTGATAATTCAGGACCNCAAGATGATGTCCCTTGATATATGTTATTTGTAGATAATATTATATTAGTAGATAAAATTCGAAAGGGGAGTAACAATAAGTTAAAAATTTTGGAGAGAGATACTCGAGTCAAAATGGTTTAAAATAAGTAGGAATGAGACTAATTATATGCAATGCAATTTTAGTAATAAAATAAATAAATATAATGAAAAAATTAAGATTGAAAATCAAGAAATATCAACAAATAAATAAATTAGATATCTAAGATCTATCATTAAAAATGATAAAAAGATTGAAGATGATATAACTCATAAATCAATGTCAATTGACTCGAGTGAAGGAAAACCTCTGGCATACTATGTGACAGAAGAATATCAATTAAATTGAAAGATAAGTTTTATCGAATAACTATAAGGATAACAATATTGTATGGGATAAAATGTTGGATAACTAGGAAACAACAGAGTGACAAAATGAGTATAGCGAAAATGAGAATGCTAAAATAGATGTGTGAAAAAACTAGAAATGATAGAATAAAAAATGATCATATTAGATAAATGATAGGAATAGCTTCAATTGAGGATTAGTTAAGAGAAAATAGATTAAAATTGTTTAGTCACGTTCAATAGAGACCGATAGAGACACTGGTTCGAAAAAGTGAAATAATTTTTCTTAATTGTACTAGAAATATGGATAAATCTAAGTTAACATTGAATAAAAATAATAAAAAAATATATGAAAATATTTAACTTAAATTAGTGTATAATGCATGATCGAAATGAATGGTGAAAATATACTTATATAGCCGATCCCAAATGATTGGCAGATAAGACTTAGTTTGATTTGATTAGATTTTTTTATTTTTTTTGATAATTCAGGACCTCCACTAATTAAATTTATTTGAACTCGCACCCAATTGTCAATCTGGACCCACATACCAAGCCATCACTCCACATGCAAGAGTTAAATTTAAGGGAGGTGCCCCTGAGTATTTTCACTCTCTGTAGAGTATCAAATCCTTGACAGAATTTTATATGATTCATAGTGTCATGTATGATTATAGATTGATAATTATAGATTGGTATTCAAATTTTAATCTACGTTTTTCTGTTCTTAATGAATTAGAGTGCCTTGTATGATTCATAGATTGATAAAATTTGAATATGTAATATTACATTCAACATATTCGAATTTGAATATAATAATATTTGCTTTGATGGCACTCCAATCGGAACGTTCATGTACGACAAGAAAATTGAGTGATTCTTTAATACCGTTGAGTGGAAGTCAAATAAAAAATAGTCTAAAATTCATTTCTAATCGAGTTCTTCGGCCGGATCGAGTTGTTCAATTTTGTTTAATTGTGAATATGAAATACATTGGATGTTTCTATAGAAATTTCAATCGGGCTTCGTCTTTTGATCCATTGACAGGTGTAACTATTGGCGGATTCAAGTACTCATTAAAACTTTCAAAACGAACTTTATAAAGAAGAATTGGGATTACAAATAGAAATGTCAAATCTACATCACCCAAGGTATAGCAACCATGAAACCAAGAAACACAAAGAGAATAGAATAGGTTCCACCATGGATAGCCACAGCTGAACTAAAAATAGAAGGGTTGTTGTTCTCGGAAGTAGGAGTAGGAAGAGAATCCCCGGGCTCAGGCGCACTGGCCGGCGATGCCACTTGATCTGCTTCCACAGTTACATGAAGCTTCATTCCTCCAAGGCAGTATAGTTTGTTACCAGCAATAAAGTATCTGTCTCCAGGAGATGACAAGGTATATGTAGTGTTCCCATTATTGCTTGATTGTATTGCATTGGTTGTATTGCACCCCTGGTAACTTTCTTTTGTTACGTCATCCACAGTGTTGTATGAAGAGTATTGGAATACTGCAATAAAGACAATGGAAAAAAAAAAAAGAAAAAAGAAATGAAAGGACGGATCCAAGAATTTAGTGGTGGCCAGAGGAAAAGTATGAGAGAATTTTCCCAACTTTCGGGGGCGATTCCCCCACTTGCGCCCTCTAGATCCATGACTAAATGAAAAATTGGAAAATATCGTCGTCTAATTTGGGGGATCCAAGAATTTAGTCGTGACCAAAGGAAAAATATGAGAGAATTTTTTCCAACATTTTGAGGGTGATTCCCTAACTTGATCGTGCCCTCTAAAAGAGTAAAAACGTTTCAATTCCTCTTATCATTCAGATTTTAAATATTTTATCCTGATTATAAGGTGTGTTAATCGTACAGAAGCTCTTCTCAATTGGGACTAGTCATGCTCAACTATTGAATTTGCATTCTTGTTCAAGCCCAACTCGGCAAAAGCTTAAGAGCATTCAAGACAGATTGAACCGAAAGAGACCTCATTTCTCAATAAATATACTCTAAATCGAAACCTTTAAATGTAATGATCAATTCTAAATTAATCTATCGTGTGCAGTAAAAATCTCCAAAATTTAAGTGTTCGAGTTTTCATCTTTCATATGCGGTTATTTGGAAACAACGGAGATTTTTTTTAAGACAAACCAAACTACCACGAGCTAAGGCACACATTACTAAGATTCTAGTTGTTTACAAGTTCAGTTTACGTTGCAATTTGAACAAGTTTGGATGAGTCCAAATTGAATCGAGCCAGAACTAAGATCAAGTTACTCGGATTGTCTAACAACTGTATCTTGAATTGACTTTGTTGAAATGGTGAAATTGAGATCTTGTATAAAGAGTATCAGCTAAAAGACACTTACATAGAACATCTCCAGTGACGAATCGCTTGCCCTTCGCCCATGTATCAAGATCAGAACTTACATCCCAGCCGGAGCTACCGCCAACAGTGTACACCGTTGCTGTGCATGTTAATGCAATGGCTAGGACCACAAGAGCAAAAACCAGAAGCAGCTTTGCCATTGCTAAGAGATGGCATGAAATATGAGACGTGAAACATGGGACATCAATAATATATACGAGGGGTGGTTTTTAATTAGACGACCTAACTATATATAAAAGACTGACTTCAAGAAAAAGAACACTTTGAATTCCTATTAAATGAATTATAGAGGAAGGAAGGGCCTTTGGTNTTTTTTTTTTTTCGGAAATCAAACTTGTTTACCTCTTGACATAAAGAAAAACATTCGTGTAAAATTTTATAAATAATATATCCAAATAGACAAAAGATCAACTTCAAATTCAAAGTTTCGTAATTTCTTATAAAAGTGACTAGGGCTGTTAATTGAATCGAGCTACTTGCGCTCAGTTCAAATAAAACTCAGTTAGAAATTGACTCATATTTTAAACGAACCCAATTTGAACAATTTTTTAGATTCGTTTAGAAAAATAAGCCTAAAAAACTCGGCGGACTCAACTCATTTTTTAAACAAATCGAGCTTTAATAATTTTTTTAATTTATTTAAAAAATTGAACTCGACAAACTCGAATTTAATTTGGTAAAGCTCAATTGGATTAAGAGCCTTACAAATGACCTCATGGTCAAGTGCTTCTAGTCACTTCTGAGTGCCAATAGAAACCACAATTCTTTAAATTGGAAAATATATTTTTGTTACTTAATTATTTTAGGTTTCATATCTGAATGTCATAAAGCAAAATTCAGGGGAATAAGGCCAAGCACTTGAGGGTTGGTTATTGACAATGGTAAAATTGGCATGAGCGTAGCACGTGGGCATAAGCTCAACATGTAAGCTTTTGCATCTTGGTAAGGCGAGCACCAGCAGGGACCTCCCTGCTCACCAGCCTTTTAGCTCGGCAGCTTGGCTCGTCTTGACTGATTCATACCAGTTGAGATATCCACACTAACAGGCGTTAGCTTCTGTTCTACTTCCAATGTCGCTTCATTCAAATAATTGTTGAAGATCTTCCAATGGTACAATTCCATAACCTATAAAAAGGTCAAGTCATGCATCATCTAGGTCAATCCATTCCGAACTAAATATAGCTTCATCCCATCACTCTTTCTAATTTTACCATCGGAGGGTTGACCGTCAAAGTTTCTCTGGTTTTTGACTTGTTTTGCAGGACATCTCCTGCTGACGGCCAGATTATCATTTTAGCCATCCGTCACGATGAACAGATTTTGGGATTAACAGTGATGATGTTCAATACATGAGATACTTGTGTACTTTTTCCTTAAAGTTTGAAATGAAAATCTAGACACCAACATTGGGGATTCAATTGTGTAATGGTTTAAGAGTGGTAAGAAGATAAAGGCAAATGAATATGGAAAATGCAGAGGCAAGATTAAAGTATGACTTTGTTATAAATGCAGTTTGTTTTTCTTCCGTCTATGGAAAGAAAATAGCCCTATTCATTAATAAATATTCTGCAAAACAGTATGAAATTGAAGAAAGAAGCAAGAACTTTTCATTTTGGTAACAACAATATAAAGTTAAATATGCGTATTAGGAAATATATATACATATTTTTAAAAAGTATTGTTTGGGTGGTCCACCAACAAGGCACACAGATGTTACCAGAGGTGCAAGCGAACAGAAAGAACCAAGCCGATCACTAAATTATTGGGGTTGGAATTGTTCATTTGCAAAAAAAAAAAAGGATTGGGGATCATGTTGAGCAGCAAAGATTTTATTCTTGCTTTGTTTGTAATTTGTTTCTGCATTTGGAATCGATTGGTCTAATTATAAACGGAGCTTGGGCTTGTGTTCACGCTTAATCCCTAGCTCAAACACGTGTTCAAGATCAAATTAACTCAGCTCGTTTCTACTAACACATCCCTTCCCTCCTCATACACACACACACACAAGTTACCAATTCTAAAACAAGTCGGATGAGCCATTACGCGGTCTTGACTAGTTTATTATATGAGTTTTAGAATTAATCCTTCGTACACATCTTTAATGAATGAACAATCTTAGATGAGTTTCAATTTAAACTCGATTCATCAGCAATCCTAGTTGCTACACGTCGTCATTCTACTTGTACTAGGAACGTATAATAGAAAACTTAAAAACAAAAAACACAACAAAAAAAACCAAAATAAAATGAAAAAAGACAGAGAGAAGTTCATGTTCTAGTTTTAGATTAAACTCAAGGGTAATACTAGACTGAAAAAAATCATACACAAAACAACATCCAAATGATATGATATGTTGGGTAAAATATAAGTTTTAAATAAAAGTGAAACTAAAACACTATCATATCAACGTCATTAGTCCTTTTTTGTTGGTCTAGTATTTTACCCGAAACCCAAACCCGCCCGGGCAACGAGAACTCACAAAAAAAAAAA